TAAATAAGCTTTGTAGAGCTTTAGAACCATTTCCTTCAATAGATTTTTGAATGAGGTAGATTATTGAATTGGCATTTTTTTGTCCTTTCAGTGATGTGTTGTTCCCATTTTAAATCTGATGTGATTGTTATTCCTAGGTTTTTGTAGCACAAAACTTTTTTTTATTGATGTTTGTTGAAGGTAATATAGTTCAGGGACGGCCGATATGTAGAACTGTGCACTTGAAGTTATTCAATGGCATTTTCCTTTCTTTATTAGATCATGTTTTAAGTAATCATTAGTATGAAACTTGTTTGACCGGATTTTCCGGATATAGTGTTTAAGTTGCTTTGTCAATAATTTTTATTGGGAAATTTCGACAATAAAGCTTTTTTAAATTTGAATTTGATGGACAAGTCTTCCTGGAAGTCTGTTAACTGTAGCAGTGGATTGCAGGATAGGTTTGTGACATCTGATTCATATTTGGTCTTCAGTTTTAGGTATGTCACACAAATAAGCCAAGAAAACAAAGGGTCCCAAGACTGAGCCTTGTGGTAAGCCGCTGTGTACAGAGTATTCAATGTATCTTAAGACGTGAGTATTCAACTCAGAGTATTCCTGCTCTAACCTGAAAGGTATGTCTAGTAGAGAATTCCTCAAGAAGTCACAGTAAATCGCCTTTGACTGCAAAATGACATAGCTTGTAGCATAAGTATATTGTTGGTATCTTTTCAAATGCTTTTTCAAAATCAAGGAAAACTAAATCAATTGGATTATTCTCATCATCGGCCGAGTCATCGGCCTTGTCCACATATTGAGTAGGGCTGGGCGATTATCAAAATAAATAATCGATTTTCGATTATTAAAAATAATCGATTTTCGATTATTAAAAATAATCGATTATTTTCGATTAGTGTTAATCGATTATTTCCGATTAATCGAATATTTTCGATTATCTTCGATTAATCGATTATTTTCGATTCATCGATTATTTTCGATCAATCGATTATTTTCGATTAATCGATTATTTTCGATTAACCGATTATTTTCGATTAATCGATTATTTTTGATTAATTGCTTATTTTAAAATAATCGATTATTTTTGCTTAAATGGTTGTTTTTGATTAAACGAGAAATCAGTGATATTTCATTAATCAAATCAGCTATTTTCAAATAAATAATCGTTTATAAATTATTGTAATATTGAATGATCGAGCTAATTTATTATAATCAGTGCATAAATGAGAATCTTGACAAGGGACACAAATGCCTCGCTGTTTTCCTGGACCTTGCGAAGGCATTCGACACGGTGCCCCACCATTCACTCCTTAGCGTTCTCGATTGTTATGGAGTTAGGGGTAGTGTGCTGGATGTCTTTGCGAGTTACTTGGCGAACAGAACACAGGTTGTGAAAATTGGAGACTCTTACAGCGACCCTTTAAATATCCAAATTGGAGTTCTGCAAGGTACTGTTTTAGGACCTATTCTGTTCATCCTGTACATAAACTCCTTGACAAATATGGAAGTGGGTAATGGAACAGTAATGTCCTATGCTGATGATACTGTGGTGGTGTTTACAGGGACTTCTTGGTCTTCTGTTAAGAATTCTACAATTGAAGGAATGAGAAAAATAAAGATCTGGCTTGATTCATTCCAATTAACTCTAAATGTTTCCAAAACAAAATATATTGCCTTTTCCATTACTAATGTGAGCAGACCGGAGTATCACAGCATTAGGGTCGATAATTTTGATAGTGATATACTAGAGGTTGATAAAAGGTCTGTTCCCACAGGAGTCTCTGACAGTTTGCAAACTGTCAGAAACAATCGCTCAGCTGAGTTACAGATTTATCTTGTAACGACAGCATTGAAAACATGCATGGGCGATGCTTACCGACAGTTTGCAAACTGTCAGAGACTCCTGTGGAAACAGACCTTATATCGGGTCTTCAAAAAAAAAACCAATCAAAGACTGCTATGGTTTTTTAAACGTACGTCTTAGCAATATTTTTCTTTAATTTTGACAATGTCAGTCAATGAAATTTAATGTCAAAATGTCATGTCAAAAATCCTGACCAATAAAGAAACATTAATGCGACGTACGTTTTCGTAACCGAAGCAATCTTTGATTGGTTTTTTTTTTGAAGACCCGATATAAAGTACTTGGGAATCACAGTGGATAGTAACCTTAAGTGGGATCAGCATATACTTAGACAAACAAGCAACATCCGGAAATTAGTTTACAAGTTTTACATACTGAGGGACATTTTAAGCAAGGGACTTCTAATAAGTGTATACAGGGCGTTAGTTGAGTCACTGATAAGATATGGTGTGGTTGCGTGGGGTGGCCTTTACCAAAACTCTCTGAATCCAATTATATACCGCAAAAACAAACTCTTTTCCACCAACTTACTATATTCAGTAGACATTCTGAGTGCACGTGCAATATATTGCCTCACATCATGTTCGTATATTCATAAAACTCCAAGACTGAAACAATTTGTCAATCATAAGCATGCAACGAGAGGTAAGACGGGCAAGCATTTGGGGCAGGCTGTGAACAAAACATCAAAAAAATTGCGATCGTTCTCATATCTTGGGCCAAAAATGTACAATTTATTACCTCTAGAAATAAGGTCAATGCCAAGACTAAGTAGGTTTAATGACAGATGTAGAGTATTTATATATGATAATTTTGATAGATTCAGTGCCGGTACTTTTGCTCTCATTTGACAGCCGTTAAAAATAATCAGGGGTTAGAATGTGCTCTAACCACATCAGAATTATAGACCTTGACCCATGTAAATCTTTGACAACGTATCAAATTCATTAATCGGCAGCAAAAGTATCGGCCCTCAGTTTACTATTCTAGCGATTAGCATCAATTGTTACACTATCTTTGGGTAGGTGTATGTATATATATAATAGGTATATGTTTATTAATTATTAATTGTAGTGTTATAAAGGGAAAGAGGGATATTTTCAAACAATGTTGCACACACATTGCACATACAGGTGGTCTTGTCTACCTAGGTGCAATCTAAACTATATTTAAGACTTCTTAATTGTAAGCTTCTAGAAATAAGTCACAGCTCTGTAACAGTAATATATTTGATTTGATTTGATTTAATAATTAGTTTTTTAATTTTTGTACTTTTTCCAGATTGTCACAGGTTGTTGCCCACAGTACTTGACAGTACTCAGTAGGACGGACACCTTTTTAATGCACTGAAAGATTTTTTTTCTTGTGTTTCATAAAGTAAAAAAAAATCCACTCGCCCTTAACTGGCTTGTTTTAAAATAAACTCTCTGGTTACTTTGGAGTTTAAGGCCCGGTTTATTCATCTCCAGACTTGCTGGCTGGCAACTATCTGCAAGATAAATTTACCCTTCTATAATTATTGTATCGGTCGGCCAATAACTGGCCGACCAATGGGATTACAGATTGCGTTTTTATCCGCGAAATTGCATACCTAACAGTTTATCAGAAGGTGAAAAAACTGGCCATTGAATATGCAAACAAAAACAAAACATAAAATTATCTGAAAAAATAATAGATTAATCGTGAAATATTGATCAATAGGAAATAATCGATTAATCGAAAATAATCGATTAGTCGAAAATAATCGATTATCAAAAAAAATCGATTAGTTGATAATCGATTATCGATTTTTCAAAAATAAAATATTTGACTAATCGATTATTAATCGATTATTTTGCTCACCCCTAATATTGAGTAGTAGTAGATTTTTTGGAATGGTACAATATGAGCATCAAGAAAAAAGGCTTGTGAGGTGAGTTCCTTAGCAAAGATTTTTTCTATACATACATACATGGGGCGCTGGTTAGGCTGACTATAGTCCAACAAATACCTTTTTAAAGTCACATAATTTTTCTCTATCCTTGTTGAATACATCTCAAACAGCGGTGATAGTAAAATTGACAAAAAAATTGCTGTCTAATTATTGTTCATAATATTCTTACCTGAAATAGAATCTGTCACTGCCATCAATTAGTTTGTCAAAGTTATTTTCGAAAGTAATACAACGAACAAACACAGCTAATAATTTTGACTATATTAACCTTTTTCCAACTCGAAAAGAAGCAAATAGAAAACGGGTACCCAATTCAAGTTCAGAATGTATTACAACAGACAGCACATGCAACAAAAGTGAGTCTCGCAACAATTGCAAGTATTAAAATTGCCCTCTGATTGGTCAATACTACTTCAGAAACGCGTTTGTAAAATGCTAGTGGGAACATATATTAAAATTCAATAGTAATTAACCACCAGTAGCTTTTTGTAGGTGATATCAACGACATAATCAATGGACATAAGTTTTTTGCCACCAGTATCACGTGACTTTAAAATGGTATTTGTCGGACTATAGTCAGCAGTTTTCTATTAGCTTTTTGTTACCCTTTTCAAATATAGGTGTAACAACAGCTTTTTTCCAAGGTTGTGGAAAATCTCCTGTGGCTATAATGTCATTTATAAGTGTCACCAGAGGCCCCTTTAGAGGCCGAGTTCGTTTTTGTCATCTTTTTCGTCGATTTGCTCCAAAATTTTGACAGACACGTGATTTGTAAATTGAAACTGTCTTATCCAATCACGTGTCTGTCAAAATTTCGGAGCAAATCGATGAAAAAGATGACAAAAACGAACTCGGCCAGAGTGTGCAAACAAATTTTAAAAAATATAGGAGGAATCTCATCAAGTCCAGGGCTGGAGTTCATCCGTAGGGACCTAATGGCGATTTCTACTTTTTCTAGGGTGAAATTTATGGTGCTGATTTCTGTTCTAGAGTAGGATTCAACTGGAAGTGTTGGTCTTATATCTAAAAACTCTGGAATTGCTGTGCAAAACACTTTGCAACATCATGGTCAGACTAAAATGAGACTAGAGTTGTTTTATCAACAATACTGAAGTGTGGGCTGAAGTGGGTGTGTTTAGACTAGTGTTAGCATAGGAAAAGTGTTCCTGAATAGATAGAAGATAAATCAAGAATTTTTCTGTTTACCTCTCTCATCACTTTTTCCCATTCTTTTGTAACTTCCTCAAAATCAATTTCATGATCTTTCGCCTTATTTACAATACTCTTTGATAGTTCTTCAAAATATTCTGAGGATCTGGCCTCAATAAATTCAAAAATATGCTCTGTCAGCTCTAAAAATTAGTAGTTTTGTCATGTTCATTATTAATTAAATAATAAAAAATTACCTTTTTCTATATACAATGGTAAATTATGCTTGATTATCAAAATATGGGCTAGTTCTTCAATGGAATCTTCGTAAGGTATCAAAATTGATAATTCGATTCCGTGTTGGTCATTGATGTATGTGAAATCTTGTTGATCCATTTTCATTAGTTTTTGCCTGCTAATTATTATTCTATATTTTTAATTAAATTGATTGTTATTAATGTTATTATTCAATTTTTCATTACTTTTGCAGTTTTGTTTTGTTGACTTTTTTTTTGAGAACTAAAAGTTTGGTTAGGACTAGGAGGTAAATTTCTATTAAAGTTACCTGTAAGATTTAGCTCTGTTCTGGATCACGTTCCGAACCAGTTCATTGAATATTTGTGCCTGGATCAGACTGTTTCAATTTATAAATCATGTGCCTGACAGAATTTCGGAGCAAATCGACAAAAAAGATGACAAAAACGAACACGGCTTTATAAAAGAACATTGTCGGAACCAGGAAACAAGAAGAACGGAGTAATTCAATAGGAGTAATTCTGGAACTAGAATCAGAACCGAACAAACTGACTGATTCGAGTTGCACCGTAGTAACTAAAAATAAATCAGCTGTTATCATTCATTTTAAGTTTCCCGAAAAGAGAAAAATTTGACGTGTAAATATCCGTCTCCCTCTAATCTATTTATTGCCCCATATGTCCATTCCTTTTTTTAGATTTTGTTTAGTATTTTTCTCAAAGTAGTGAGTTTTCTTTCTAAAAATAAATCGAATGCAAAAGTGATACTTATTTTTCTTTTGGAAAAATGACTACTTTTCACAAAGTCGAAGTTAACAAAACGGTATGGGAAGTACCAGTGAGGTACCAAATGCTATCGGCCGTTGGTTCTGGAGCATACGGCCAAGTTTGGTGAGTATTTTTTTATTGCAGGTACTACACCTACATAAATAATTACATCTCAAGGTGGTTAATTATTCATATTACAGACTATAGGATAGAATTTTATTTTTATCTTGCTATTGATTGTTGTTTATGTTTATATTAATTGAATACATTAATTTGTTGTGCTTCAGGTTGGTTATCTCTACCTATATACTTAACTTGACCCAAAAATAATTAATTTTTCATCATCAATATATTATTTTACCTGTTTGCGAAAAGTGCACTTTACCGCACTTCTTTGCAACTGGAAAGTAGTACTTTACCGCAGTGTGCACATATACAGGGTATTTGTGAAAGGGTGTTACAAACTTCAAGGCCAGATAGTATTCATGAAAATAAATAAAAAAGTTCCTATGGATATAGGTTCGGAAACACTTTGTTTCCAAGATACAGGGGGCTAAGTTTTTCAAAAAAATTTAGTTTTTTATAAATAGCCCAGAAGAGCTTTGGCCGATTTCAATGAAATTTTCACGGTTTATTTAAACCATTAAGGGCCATATTCTCCGTAGTTCATAAAGCCTTGCTTAGTGGAAACGCTTGGCTTTTTGTGTGACAAAGCCGAGCTTTTCCACTAAGCCAAGCTTTATGAACTACGGAGAATATGGCCCTAAGTATCAGTCATCTACTGGAATAATTAGATTTGTTCCAGAATTTCCAGGCGCGTACCCAGCGACCAAGTCGGTTGCTTTTTTGCAGAAAAAAATATCACCCTGTAGTTTTTGTACAATTTTTATCAATTATTCAGATCGAGATTCAGATAAACCCACTAAAAATACAACATTATTGTCTTTTGGCTTTTTCGATTATCTCCTCGATTATCTCGCTTCGTTTTTGCGGAAAAATTACAATACCATACCTCGGCACGTCTCTGAACTCCATAAGACAAAATAAAAATGCTTAGGAATTGATTAAAAATTTATCGCAGTTTGTTCATTTATGAGAACAATACGAAAAAAAACGTCAAATGGAATTTATCTCCTTGTCACTCAATGATTGGGTGATGTACCTTAATTCCTATGAATTTTTATCTTTCCTTATAGAGTTCATAGACGTACCGAGGTATGGTATTGTAATTTTTTCGCGAAAACGAAGCGAGATAAATGGAAAATTCATGAGACAAAAATGTTGTATTTTTAGTGTGTCTATCTGAATAATCAGAGCTGGGCAAGCTACTTGGAAAAAGTAGCTAGCTACAAGCTACTTTATATTGTAAGTAGCTAAGTTACTCAGTAGCTCAACTACCTCTTTGAAAAAGTAGCTAAGCTATCAGTAGCTTAACTACATTTTGAATTTTTGAAAGCTACTATTTAAGCTACTTTTTTGAAAGTTAAATTGATAAAAACAAAAAAGCGTGCACAATCGCCACTATCAATGTACATACCTTACCTAATTTAATTTCATATCATCATACGAAAATAACATATTAACTTTCTCTAAGAAGTATTCATATTTTTGTGGACCACTGGACATTAATTTATTAGGTTCACTTTGATCACAGTGATCTGCAAATGCGAGAATAATAGGACACATAAAACATAGGTATCTACAGAGATAACTAGAAACTAGTCTAAGCAAGCAGGCAGGATAAGAATTTTCTGGAAAATAATAATTGTAGCTTAAGCAATTAAAGTATAAAGTTACTTTTATCGAGCGGTAAATTCAAACGCGGGCGATAGGTTGGTGGAAACGTGCCTTTATAAGGGGAAAACTGTTTATTATATTATAGGTATAGTTATTTCATTTTTGAACTAGAAGAGTCCGCTGCGCATAAAACGTAATAAGTATTTTGGGCGTTAAGTATCGTTAACCACACCCTCAGGCGGTAAATGACACTTTCCGCCATTAATACCTAAATAACTATTAACTATCTACCAAAAGTAGCTTAAGTAGCTTGTTTTAGTAGCTAGCTACTTTTCACAGTAGCTTATGAATACTTGAAACACATTACCAAAAGCTACAGCTACAAGCTACTTTTTTTTCAAAGTAGCTTGAATAAGTTATTAGCTACCAAAAAAGTAGCTAAGCTAGTAGCTTAACTACTTGGTAGCTAGCTACTGCCCAGCTCTGTGAATAATCAATAAAAATCGTACAAAAACTACAAAGTGATATTTTTTTCTGCACAAAAACAACCGACTTGGTCACTGGGTACTCCCCTGGAAATTCTGGATCAAATCTAATTAGTCCAGTAGATGTCTGATTGAAATAAACCTTGAAAATTTCATTGAAATCGGCTAAAGCTCTTTTGAGCTATTAATAAAAAACGATTTATTTTTTTTTGAAAAACTTAACACCCTGTATCTTGGAAACAAAGCGTTTCCAGACCTATATGCATAGGAACTTTTTTTAATTATTTTCATGAATACTATCTGTCCTTGAAGTTTGTAATACTTTCGGAAACACCCTGTATTTGTGTTTTTGACATATACCTATTCTTATGTATTAAAACCTATCATTTTCAAACAGAGCCCAGATTCCGAACCAACGATTCGATAGTATCGTCCTTATAAAATAGATAGACGATACTATCGAATCGTGGGTTCGGAATCTGGGCCCAGATTGATTGGCTCCAGGAATGTTTTCTAGAGAATCGAGAGCCGGTAATAGTTCAAAATTTTGATTATCTATGGCTCTAGATCCATTGGATAATTTTTCTTGAGCCAATTAGAAGCTGCGGAAGAAATTATGTCAACTTAAGATCTGCTGGTGATCATTCGAAATTTTGATTATTATCGGATCTTGAGCTTTGAATGCCCTTAGTTTTCTCCAGCTAATCCAAAGTTAATTAAAGTTCAAATTGTGAGTATTACCGGCTCTTGATTCACTCCAGGAAAGTTTTCCAGACAATCGAGAACGGTAAAAATTCAAAATTTTGATTATCTGTGGCTATTATTTTTTTTTTTTATTATTATATATTACTGGAATTGGTTAATTTACAATAAATTGCACTTAGGTATAGACTACAATAAAAATTACTTCACTATCACATGGTATTGTTATTATTCTGCACCTAGACATAAATATCTGTATGTGCAGTTAGCATAGAGAAAAACATACTATAGTACAATTAGCCATAACCAAAGACAATAGATCCTATCAATAATTTACATAAAGCAGAAGACAAAAACAAGAGTGCACTTATTTTGAAATGTATACACAGAAAAACCACCAATGTCTTCAAAATTTGTCAAAATAGTTCAAATTAATCCAAGTACCTTACAAGAAAACCAAGAATAAGTTCAAATTTTGAAATATATAGTTTAGGCATTTACTTTTGAACACATTTTTTTTACGTATCATTCTTATATTTATAGGTAACTGGTTGTAGAACTTAGGAGCTAAGTAATTAAAAAATCTTAAATTTACATTGGAGTTGCTATTTGGTATTATGAGATGCCCACTTTGGTTATTTCTGGTACTATAGGCGTGATTAATTTTTTCTATAGAAGATGGTTTAACATAGACGTTCATGCAAAGAGAATAGATATACAATGTTCTTACGTTAGGAACATCTTTAGAATATAAAAGGGCTGCTGTAGAATACCTTTTGTTCTTTCCATAAACAACCTTAAGGATATAATTTTGGACCACGTTTAATTGTCTTATAGCATTGTTGTACAGACCACCCCATATGGGAATGCCATACCTTATCAGCGACTCTATCATCGCTTTGTAAACCATCAATAACACATTCTGGCTTAGGATATGTTTTAAAATATAAAACCTAGAAATGAGTCTTCGAATATTGAGGGTAAGTTGTGCAACATGTTTGTCCCATCTGAGGTGCCTATCAATAGTGATACCCAAGTACTTGGTGGCCTCAACCTCCCCAATGATCCCCTCACCCAAATTTATGCTGGTAAAATGTGGTCGATTTACAGAGGTAAGTGAAAAAGCCATATATTATGTTTTGCCAATGTTTAGAGTTAGTTTGTATGTCTGTAGCCAGCAATTAACCCTTGTAAGCCCTTCTTCGGCTGATGTTTTTAACATCATGCCATGAAGATCCTCTAAAGAGGATAACCGTGTCATCAGCATATGATATGATAGTTCCATTGTTTATTTTTAGGTTCGTTAGAGAATTTATATAGCAAATAAACAGAAGAGGACCCAGGACAGTTCCCTGTGGAACTCCAATACGAACTTTAACCGGATCACTTAAGGTTTCACCGATCTTAACGGTTTGATTCCTATCATTCAAGTAACTCGAAAATATGCTAAGGGCGATCCCACGTACCCCATATGAGACATTTAGAGTGTGGGACTGTATCAAATGCCTTAGCCAGATCCAGGAAAACAGCCAAGCAGTTAACTCCGGTATCCAGACAATTAACAACATCTTTTGTCAGTTGAAGAATCGCGTCAGTTGTATTTTGACCTTCACAAAAACCAAATTGATTTTCGGATAGGATTTTATTTTTTCTGAGAAAGTTATTAAGTCTGGATTTAAGACATCTTTCGAAAACCTTTGAGAAATTATTAATTACGCTAATGGGGCGGTAGTTACTAACAAGATACGGATCACCAGATTTAAAAATTGGAGTAACTATGGCCTCCTTGAAATAAGAAGGTACGTAACCAGTATCGAATGATAAATTAATAATATGTTTTAGTGGTTCGATAAGGTATAGATGAAATTTTTTTATTATCTTGGAGTCGATTTTATCAGGGCCTGGGGCGCAACTGTTTTTGAGGGAACTGATGTGATCAATAAGTTCATTGTCATTTACAGGAGTTAGGAACATAGATGATGAGGAATTGGATTGAAGTTTTAATGGATCTTTAGGTTCGTCAATTTTATTGAGCATCTTTATACCAATGCTACTAAAGTATTCATTACAATAATTAGAGAGGTCTTTTTTATTTGAAAACAGGTCGGTTGTCATTTTTTATTTGTAAAACACTATTTGTATCAGATTTCATTTGGTTAGTTGCCTCAGAAATTATTTTATAAATTTTTTTTTATATCT